CTAAAACAAATAATTAAAAGCTGGGAAGGGGAAACATGCTTCGGAGAATAACAAATAAAACAGAATCTCAAGAGAATTATCAAGAAACCAAAAATTCAACTTCAATCGAAGATAAAGAAAACAAAGCCAATTTCCACTTTCAGTTCACATCTCGTTGCAGGCGTGCAACCGGATCCCATTTCTCATATCTCGTGGTAGGCGTACCACTCGCTCCTATTTCATCATATCCCGTGGTAGGCGTACCACCCAATCCCATTTTATTATATCTCGTGGTAGGCATACCACCCGATCCCATTTAATTATATTCCGTGGTAGGCGTACCACCCGATCCCATTTCATCTTATCTCGTGGTAGGCGTACCACCCGATCCCATTTACAAGCCAACACAAAATCACAAGGATTCCCGGCAAGGGAACAAAAGCAATATAATAACTTCGCGGCAAGGGAACTAAAGCAATATAATAACTTCCCGGCAAGGGAACAAAAGCAATGTAATAACTTCCCGGCAAGGGAGCAACAATATCAAGATAATCATCCCGGCAAGGGAGAATCAGCTATAACCAATCCTAACTCAACTCCTACTCAACTCAATTAGTACCAACACTCAATCATAAATAAAATCCACGAAAATAAACTAAATCTTTGCTCAATATCGAGAATCATCAATTAAAGCATCCGTAGTAACATTTAAGAACACAACATCTATCAATTCAAGACTCACGGTCATGCTCGACACCAATGTATAGATACTCGTCACCATGCCTATACGTCGTACTCAACAAGAAGAAATTAGCAAATAGGACACAACTCCTAATCCCTCAAGCTAAGGTTAGATCGGACACTTACTCAAACCTCCACGGCCAACTCAAGCCTCAAACACCGCCTTTCCTTTCGAATTTGGCTCCAAATCGATCGTATCTATACGTAATCGAATTCATAACATCAATAAATGCTAAACAATTCAATTCCAATGCCAAATTATTGCTTTCTAATCATTCTTCCCAAAAACCCAAAAATCGACCCCGGGCCGCTTGGTCAAAACACGAGGTTCGGACCAAAATCAAATCACCCATTCACCCACGAGCCCAAATATATAATTATTTCCAGAATTCGATCCCAAAACAAGGTCTGAATCACAATTAATCAAAAAGCCCTAACTCTACCCAAATCCCTAATTTTCAACCCTTAAGTCTCATGTTTTAGGCCTAGAAATCTAGTGGGCGTTGATAAAAATGGAAGGAATCAAGTTAAAGATTACTTACCCAAGAGATTATGGTGAATAAATGCTTCAAAAATCGTCCTAGAGCTTTGGAGAAGAAGGGGTTTATGAAATTTTTTCAAAATCCCGAAGGCTACTGTTCTGGACCTTTTAAAAATAACTGGGCGAATATGTCCTTCGCGTTCGCGACATACCCCTCGCGTTCGCGATGGGTCAGGCTGGATAAGCCTTCGCGTTCGCGTAAACGGGCTCGCGTTCGCGGAGAATGACCCCCTCGAGCCCTCTCGTTCGCGTCCAACGGGTCGCGTTCGCATAGGTAATTGCCCCACCCCCTGCCCAGGCCCACTTGGCCTTCGCGTTCGCATGGCCAGGACCGCGTTCGCGAAGGTATGCCCCCCCACCGCTTCGCGTTCGCGACCTGAGCTATGCGTTCGCGTAGAAATATTTTCCTTCGACAAAGTTTAATGCATCGCGTTTGCGTGGGTTCTCCCGCGAACGCGAAGAAGAAAATATCAGTACACCAGATCAGCTATTTCTGCAATTTTTCTTAAGTCCAAAACTTCCCGAAACACATCCGAAACACACTCGAGCCTTTTGGGCTCCTAACCAAACATACGTACTAACTCAATTACATCGTACGAACTTACCCGTGCGATCAAATCACTAAAATAACCTCAATTACAATGAATTAATCCTCAAAATCAAAGAATTTTTCTCAAACTTCATCAAGTATCAACTTTAGCAATTTAGGTCCGATTCACGTCAAATGATATCCGCTTTTTACAAAATTTCACAGAAACATATTAAATCATATATAAGACATGTACCGGGCGCCGAAACCAAAATACGGGCCCGATACTAACATGTTCTAATCAAATGTTATTTCAAATTTCCTTAAACAATTTCAGAAAATAATTTCCTTTAAAAATTTATTTCTCGGGCTTCGGACCTCGGAATTCGATTATGGTCATATGCCCAAGTCCCGTATTTTCCTACGGACCTTCTGGGACCGTCGAATCACGGGTCCGGGTCCGTTTACTCAAAACGTTGAAGTCAAATTAATTCATTTATTAGCCAAATTTTATCATTTTCACATATTTTCATATTTAAGCTTTCTGGCTATGCGCCCGGACTGCGCATGCAAATCGAGGTAATGATAAAAGAAGTTTTCAAGGCCTCGGAAACACAAAATTTAATTTAAAAGCAAGTGATGACCTTTTGGGTCATCACTCATTCAAGATGCAATTATTTAGAATGTTAATGATAGAGACTTTTGGCTTTCTAAAGGTAAGGATAGGAATTAATATAGTGATTAATGAAACATTTAATCTTATAATCACAAGAACATTTTTTCTTATTATTAGATTAGATAAATAAAAAAAAGAGAACTAATGCAATATAAGGAGAAAAAAGATAAATAGAATTCTTGATCAAAGAAAACTAATCTTTTCTACTCAAATATTTCTTTATTATTTTACCACAAATTGTTACAATGATAACAACTGGCAAAATGAAAAGATTAAGTTGACCGACATAACATGATTGAAGTTTGAAAGGAAAAAGAAGTATTTGATCCCCAAATATTATACTCCCTCCATTTCAATTTATGTGAACCTGTTTGACTGGGTATGAAGTTTAAGAAAAAATGAAGACTTTTGAAATTTATGGTCCTAAACAAGTCAAAAAGGGGCCCAGGGTATTTGTGTGGTTATAAAAGCTTCTCAGTAAGGGTAGAATTGTAAGTTTAAGCTAAATTATTTTCAAATTTAGAAAAGGTTCATTCTTTTTGGAACGGACCAAAAAGAAAATAGGTTCACATAAACTGGAATAGAGGGATTATCAAATATCTAAAATAATATATATGCCAAGCCAAAATAAAATTCATGAATATCATGAATTCCTAAATTGAGGGTATGGTGTTGTTGCATGTGATAATGCACCACAATCCAAATCTTGCATGTGTTGCATGAGGTTACAGTGAAATATTGTGATTACGATGTCGTAAGCGGTTATATATATATATATATATATATATATATATATATATATATATATATATATATATATATATATATATATATTCGTTTTACTTTCTATTAATTTTGGGCTCTAACAAAGCATTAAATCACGAGCAATATTACTTACTACAATGGCCAAAACCCTGTGATTTAATTAGACAACTGCTTACGACGTCGTAACCATAATATTCCATACAATGTAATTTGGTTTTACACATAATTAAGGTTTCTCTGCTTGTTCATTGACTCTCTCAATTTGTTCACTTTTCCCTTCTTTATGTTACTAGTATCATTTTGCAAGTACAGATCAATAGTGCTACAAGGTGAGAAATATAAAAAAAGGTATAGTATTAAGATCATCTGTCAACCATAATTTGATGTCTTATTAGTAATTGATACCAATAAACTGCTCAAATAACTCTAACCTAATAATCCAACAATGAAAAAAAAAATGTCAGTTGCAAATGCTCCTTATATTTGTTGGTATTGTTTATAAAAAATCTAATAGTGCCATCTGAGGCATAGTCCTGACATGGATGAAATGGCCACACTTTTCCTATATTTTAGAGTTGGCACAATCATCACGAAGCTTCTCCTCCTATCTTGAAATACATACTCCATTTGATATGATCATTGTGATGATAGAGAATAATTTTTATTTATTGGAGAAGGGATGATTCCATCTTCGTTTTCCCTAGTTTTCAAAACCACAGAACAAAAGGTAACCATAGATCGGCAGTTGACCTAATACATATTGGAATACTGTTAATAATTCGACCCACTAAAAGCAAACAACATTACATAAAAATCACATTCACAAGGAATACGATGTGTCAACAACTCAAAACTTACCCTTAAACACAAGATATATCTCAATAGGATCTTTCATTAAATAGTCCACCAGATATTTAAAAGTATTGTAGTTAAAAACCTTTAACTTATCAACAAAAAAAAATATATTGAAGCAAAATCAGAAAAGAAATTCATGAACTACTCGTTAACTGAAATAATAATTCCTAATCCACTCAAAACAAATGACATACGCACTCATAATCCATGAAATACAAAAAGATAATAACAAAAAATATCTCATCATTAATAACAAAAAATATCTCATCATTTGTAATACAAAATAAGCAGCAAATCAAAGGCAACAAATTAAACCTTTTCTACTCCATAATTATTTTCGAAAAACAGTAAAGCACGTATAAAAGACATTAGAAAAATACCACCTTAGTTTTGTGTCATCCGAATTTAAACCATGTCATTTTTCCTCGCGCGTAACCTCATATAACTGAAAGTTAGTTATATGAGTTTCTCTCTCTAGAATGAAATTCCCTCTCAGTGAAAGCTGAAAAATGACGAGGAAATCGAAAGCTAGAGGAGGAAGACAACTAAATCAGGAGACTGTACAACAACAGATCAATGCTAGAATTAGAGTTCCGAATTAAGCCGATACGAAAAAAACAAGGAGTATCAATGTACTACAAGGAATAACTCCATTAGAGTTAGACAAGGTAGCAATGGAACAAGAAACACCAGTGAAGCTCATGCATGGAGGAGAGATGTAGCACAATTCATCAGGAAAACAATTATGGGCAGATATCGCGGAGCAGGAAGGAGAGCATGAAGGTACGAAGGAGGTAAAACCTCAAAGTGAATCTAAATTGAGGCTATGAAGTAGAATTGTGATCAACAGTCCTGATGTGGACGAGTTAGAACTAAAAACTAACGAATCTGCAAATCAAAATGTGAAAATAACCATGGAAGATATCAAAGAGGAAATAGAATATTGGAGTAATGCAGTTATATGCTATGTTCTGGGATCGAATCCTCCTCCAGTAGTTATGAATGGTTATTTTCATAGAATCTGGGGAAAATTGGGAATAGACAAGGTTGCTCAAGTTAACAGGGGAGTGTTCTTGGTGAGATTTGCTCAAGCTGAAAGTAGAATGAAGGTATTAGAAGATGGCGTCCAGATGTTCGACCAAAAACCTGTCATCATCAAGCCTTGGTCACCTGATATAGACACCAGGAAGGAATCATTTAGCACTGTGCCTATATGGATTAGACTCCCTGGATTGGATATTAAGTATTGGGGAAAAAATGCATTGACAAAAATTACAGGCTTAGTAGGGAAACCTATGAAAGCAGATAGAGCTACTACATGGAAAGAAAGGATGACATTTGCGAGAGTGCTGGTGAAGGTTACACTTGATCAACCTTATGCGCAAACTATTATGTTTGAAAATGAAGTTGGGAAAATTGTAGAGCAAAGGGTGCATTATGAGTGGAAACCAACACTGTGCAAGGAATGCAATAATTATGGGCATGAAGTGACAGAATGTAGAAAGCATACTCAAATGGAGAAACAAATGGCAAACAAAAAAGAATGGGAGAAAGATCATAACAGTGCAGGAGAAACTATGAACCAGAATAAGGCAAGGAATGATGAGGTGAAGCAAAAACAGAATGAAAAAGAGAAGGTGGAGACAGGGAACCAACAGGAGAATAGAAGAGAAGGTAAGAAGGCTACATACATACAAAAAGGAAACTGGGCACAAAGAAGGAAGGATGTTCCCGGAAGTAATATAAACCTAGGCAACTCTTTTGGGGAATTGGGAGAAACTAGCATTATGATGCTGATAGAACAAGAGAGAGAGGGCCTGGAAAAACAGATGCATAATGTAGATGAAGAACACATATTGGGGAAGGGGGGAGCCTTTCCCGAGGAAATGGATAACATAGGCTTCTGGAATACCAGGGGTTTTAATAGACTAGCTAAGCAGGAAGAAGTAAACATTTTTCTGCATCAATGTAAAGTTAGCCTATTTGGACTCTTGGAAACTAAGATTAAGAGAAGAAATGCTCAAAAAGCTTCTCTTAATCTGTGTAAAGGATGGTCACTTACAAATATTTAGGAGCTCATCCGGGAGGGGGGGGGGGGGAGTTTGGCTAGTATGGAAGCCAACAATTATGCAGGTACAAATTGAGTTTGTATCAGCACAAATGATTCACTGTGAAGTAACTCATAAAGGAACTGTCATGACTTTTTCTCTGTCTATGGTTTATGGATTCAATGATCCAGCTTTAAGAAGGACCCTATGGCAAGAAGTGAGAGACATCAAGAACAATATAAAGGGACCTTGGGCAGTGATGAGTGACTTTAACTGTGTACTAAACAAAGAAGATAGAATAGGAAGACCTGTTACTATGGCTGAAATAAGAGAGTTCAGAGATGGTATAGGAGAATGTGGATTGCAGGAGCTGAGATCATCTGGTGCATTCTATACATGGAATAATAAACAGGGAGGGGAGGACAGCGTGTACAGCAGAATAGACAGAGTATTAACTAACACCGACTGGATTGCAAATCTACCAGCCTTAGAAGTGCACTACATGAATGAAGGACTGTTTGACCACTGCCCTGCCATTATAAACTAGGACAAGGGCAAAAGGAATAGCAGAAGTCAATTTAAGTATTTCAATACGTGGAAAATGGCTAGTGACTTTAAGGAGAAAGTACAACAAATCTGGGAGAAGGAGATAGAAGAAAATAAAATGTTCAAAGTTATTGGCAAAATGAATAGAATAAAGGCAGTGTTGACAAAGCTGAATAAAGAAAGATTTGCAGATGTTGATAGAAAAGCTGATCAAGCCTTTGCAGAACTCAAAAAATGTCAAGCAGAACTACTGCAAGATGGGAGAAATAAAGGGCTGATAGAAAAGGAACTTCAATTAGCAAAAGAGTGCAGACAATAGAGGGAAGCTAGGGACACATATCTAAGGCAAAAGAGCAGGATATAATGGCTCACCAAAGGGGATCAAAATACCAAATTTTTCCATAGTGCAATCAAAGAAAGAAGGAACATGAACAGAATCTTCTTAGTGGTTGGCAAAAATGGGATCACTAGAAAAGATACAGAAGAGATCTCTCAAGCTTTTATTGAATTTTATGGTGAACTACTTGGGGAGAAAAATGGGAACAGGAAGAATGTTTGTAGTGAACTTGTTAGAAAAGGTCCAATTCTTAATCAGGAACAGAGGGAATGGCTAACACAAGAGTACCAGATAGAAGATGTCAAAGCAGCTGTATGGTCAATTGCAAGGGATAAAGCTCCTGGACCTGATGGTTATACAAGCCAATTCTTCAAAGACTATTGGGAGATTGTAAGCAAGGATGTGGTAGCAGGGGTACTGGAATTCTTTCAGAAAGGAACCATGCAGAAGAGCCTAAACACAACAAGAATTACACTAGTGCCAAAAAGCAGCCATGCTCAACTAGTAGGAGATTATAGACCAATAGCCTGCTGCAACACATTGTTCAAAGTCATCTTAAAAATGTTGTGTATGAGATTGAAGAAGGTACTACCAGGAATCATATCAGCAAATCAGAGTGCGTTTGTTACAGGAAGAAGTATAGTGCAAAATATCCTAATATGCCAAGACCTAGTCAGATTATACAACAGGAAAGCTTCTGTGAAAAGCTGCCTTATCAAGATTGACCCGAGAAAGGCCTATGATACAGTAGAATGGGACTTTGTTCGTGAGATGCTTCATGACTTAAATTTCCCACACAGATTCATCCAATGGATTATGCAATGTATTACAACAGCTAGATACTAATTGCACTCAATGGAGGAGTATATAGGAGCATTGAAGGGAAAAGGGGATTACGACAAGGAGACCCAATTTCACCCTTAATATTTGTTATCTGCATGGAGTATTTTACAAGACTCATGCAGCAAGTATCTACAATGCAGGGGTTTGAATTTTATACAAAGTGTAGAAGGCTAAAACTGAACCATTTGTGTTTTGCTGATGATGTGTTGCTGTTCTGCAAAGGAGAAATGGCATCAGTGTTGCTGATGATGAGGGGACTGGCTGCATTCTCAGAAGCTACAGGACTGAAAACCAATGAAGCTAAATCAAACATTTATAGTGCAAATATGAATGAGCATGATCTGGCTGATTTATGTGAAATAACTGGATATAAAAGAGGTACCCTACCTTTTAGATATCTGGGAGTATCAATTTCAGCAAAGAAGATTTCAAGTATGGACTGTAAAATGCTGGTAGATAAAATGTGTGCTAGAATCAAGAGCTGGAGATCAAGGAACTTATCCTATGCTGGGAGAGTGATGCTGATAAACTCAGTGCTACTACATATTCATACATACTGGTCCTCCGTTTTTATTCTTCCAAAGAAGGTAACAAAAAACATCACTGCTATCTGTAGGAACTTTTTATGGGATGGGAAAGTAAATACAAATAGAGTGCCATTAGTCGCATGGGAGCTTCTATGCAGGCCTAAAACAGAGGGGGGACTTGGGATTATCGACTGTGAAACCTGGAATCAAGCTGCTATAGCCAAATACGTATGGAATATAGCTAAGAAAGCTGATAACTTGTGGGTGAAATGGGTAGATCACATATACTTGAAGGAAAAGGATTCGTGGCTATACAAACCACTACAGGATTGCAGCTGGTACTAGAGGAAAATATGATCTATCATAGATCAATTTGCTGCAGGATATGTCCAACAAGACTGGTTGGCAAATAAAGGGAAATACACAGTAAAAAGTGGCTACAACTGGAAACAAGGGAGAAGAGGGAAATGGGAGAGTAGTAGATGTGTGTGGAGCAGCAACAACATCCCAAAGCATAACTTCATCTGCTGGTTAGCTACGCATAGAAGACTCCAGACAAGAGAAAGACTGGCAAAACTGGGGATATGCAAAGAAGTCAAATGTGTTACATGTGGGGAGAAAGCAGAAACAATAGAACATATTTTCTGTGAGTGCAACTATTCAAAGACTTGTCTAAAAGAGATACTGAAATGGCTAGATATAGGAGTACAACAATACAAATTGGAAGGGTTGTGGAGAAGAATGACAAGAAAAATACGAGGCAAGGCATGCAGCACAATAATCAACACTGTTGTTGCAACTACTATATACCACTTATGGAGAGTCAGAAATGATGCACTGTGGAACCTCAAAGTCCCAAGACCACAGAAGGTAGTAAAGAATGTGCAGGAGGAATGCAGGACGAAAATGCAGATAATCTTGGAGAAGAAATCAACATCACAAAGACAAAGACTTTGGATACAGAACCTAATGTAAATACTAAAGAAGTAGATGGATAACTATGATGTAATAGAGTAGAATAGAAATAGAGGAAACAGTAAAGTAGAAGGAGAACTAAATGTATATTTGAACTTGTCTGTGGTGATTAATAAGACTCTCTTTCACCAAAAAAAAAGTTACTTACAAAGTTCAATGTTGATAAACTTCGTATATGTAGCACCCTTTGAATCCACACAACTTGTTTCTCAAGGAAATTACAATCAGCTATACCCACTGAGACACATGGGATGAGTGTTCTTTGAAACTTGAGAGTATGAAATCCTAATAGTGGCCACGCGATTGGCTTTGCAGACATATCTCATTTCAAAGAACCATGAGCGTATGGAATATTTGCAACTCATGATAAAGCTTGACACATAGAGTCAGGTTTATCGTACGTTAGCATTTTATAAGTACGAATCAGAGAGAAAGGGAGAGAGCAAAATATACAATTATATCAGAAGATTGTTGACTCTTCTACATCCTAATCCACATTAACGGATATGTCTAAAATATCTATCTAATAATCCTTCTATATTATTGATCAAGAATTTTCTTGGATAAAGCATCGCTGCTGACTACAGTTATTTTTGATTGTGCAAGTTTATCTTTATACTGAAAGTGGTGGATTTGAAAAGCCAAAGTTTTGGCTTGTCAATTCTGAAACGGCACCTTTATTCCTCTTTGTCGTTCTTAACGGAAGTAAAAGTAATGGTGAGTATTCAGAAATGACAGCTTATTGATTTAATAATTGAGTATTATATTAAAATTGGAATTAATTAATATTATTGTAACCGTTAAAAGTGTTAACTGTTGTCTGTTGGATTTTCTAGTAGGGCCACTTTTCGTATAAAAAGAAAAGGGCAAAATGCTAAGAAAAAAGATAAATAAAAAAGCTGGCACAGGAGAGTGCCACATCAGCTCACTTATCGCCCAGCTTTATATTTATATATAGATAATTGGCTTTAACTCTTAGTTACGTTAGTAACTTTTAATTATGGCTTGAAATGTGGAAGAATTTATGATAACATGTAAGAGCTAAACATTTAACTTATAACAACAATCGTTTCCTTTAGCTACCGTTATGTCATTTGTTTAATTTTTTAGTTGTATGTATCTTAGTTTATTTCCGGTTATTATTTCCTTTCCTTCAATTTTAT